TTTTAGATCTGCCCATCTACATGCAGTCCCAGTAATATAACAAGCATGCTACCACTTTGCACAATGAAGAAATGTCCAATTTCCTTGAGATCCCATGATCAGGTTATCAATGCTGGGCAGGAAAGCCTGGGAAATTTGTGGTCTGCTACGACGTCAAAATCCTTCACTTCTTTTGTTCACTATATATTCAGCTGTTGTACTTGTTGTCATGCATTACTCAGCACCAGTTAAGAATAAACTTACCAGAGACACATCATCCAGAATAAGCCCGAAGGTAGCTGCTCTCTCTGTGAGATCCTCACTGACCGCCCGAGAAACCAGCTCTCTCTGTGTGATCAGCTCCCCAGCATCGAACCTGGCCTGTCAAACATACAAAAGATCAATACAAACTTATCAATACACATTCCCAGGAAACACTTCTGTAAGCAAGCCAATAAAATGCTGCTTGCTTGCTATTGCAGCCCTGCACTCATCTTAAAGGACCAGCACTGACTTTAACCCCTTCATGACTGAGGCCCTTTTTTCAATTTTTGCACCCATGTTATATTCCACATTTTAGGCCTGAAAATGATGTAAAACCCCCCAACATTATATATTTTCTGAATGCCAAGACCCTATAGAATAAAATGGTGGTAGTTGAAAATTTTTATGTTGCGCAATATTAGCGCAACTCCTTATTAAACCCCAAAATTTAGTGACAAATTTAATTAAATGCCCCAAAACACAACAAATTACCCATTTTTTAAATGAAATATAAAAGATGAGGTTACAACGAGAGCACATGAAATTGTATGGAATTCTGGAGGAGTTGAATCCCCATTGTTTCAAGGGAAACAAAGGAAAATAGTATGCTGCCGCCATTCATGTGGAAATGCCAATATCCTGGTTGTGATTTGATCCCCTGTATACGCTGTTGAGTCACTGACCGGGAAGAAGTATTAGCTCTCCTAACATGCATACTTGATCCGAGTCAATGATTCACTACATAGGAAAGAAAGCTATTTTGGCCATTTCTCTCCTAAAAGGGTCACTTTAAATCTCCTGTGATCTCTATCCTCCCTTTAACCTGATACTTCAAGGAATCTCTCAAATGCGGCTACTGCGGGAATATTCTTTCACATGGATACATTTGTTGTCATATTTTATATAGATGTTTATAGACACCATTGCTCATGCATAGTTCATGTGAGTTTTAGATTACCGTATTTTTCGCTCCATAAGACGCACCTAGGTTTAGAGGGAAAAAAAGGCTGCTTTTGTTTTAGTTGTGCGGCTAAGCATGGCTCCACCAGTTACGTCATCCATACCGTCTGCCATCTTTTTTTTTTTTTTTTTTTTAATGGGGTTGTTGGC